ACCATGCAGGGATTTTTTCATGGAGAAGAAGCAGAAAAAGTTACATTCATAGAAAAAAGCGATATAGAAGTCGTACACATAGGGGGCACTACACACACGACATTTGGTTATAAAACTGAAATGGTTATTTTTTTTATCACTTTTATATTTCACAGAGCAATTTGAAAAGCTTTCATCACATAGTTGCACTTTGTGCAGGGTTAGTGAAAGGAAAATGTTCTCTATAAAATCTACATGGCAAACAAATTTAGATAAATAAGGATAATCAGGATAATCACCTTCATTGGCCAAGGTGGGTGGGGGGGGGTTTAACTGTGCTACTGAGAGACAACAGTGTCCAGAATTTTACTCTCATTGGGAACGCCTTAAATTGTTTAAATTAATTTTAATATAAAAATGAAATTTTTCAGTTGAAGTTCTCCGACTACACTGTTTTCACTGGAGACATGCAACCGCAGCACTGCTGGGGACTCGGGGGCGATTTGGCTGAACTGACTGCTAAATATAAAACAATGTTGTGTGTTTAGGATGGAAGAAAATAGACTTGGAGCATGAATACAGTCATAGTATTGTCCATAAAACATGATTATAATGTGAACCATTGTGGAGTCTGTGTAGACAGCTGCATTAATTAAAACAGACACAACAGAGTCACCTGAACTGGGATGATTTGTTCGAGTAATGACAGCCTGACAGATAAAAACAAGAAAAACAATCTCCACATGTAACTGAACTAAAAGGTGCAGTACAGTGGTATTTCTGCTCTGGCTCCATCAGCGATGGCACCAAACCACTACAACGTTGCATGGTTTTAAACAACAGCCTTTCTGGATTATTTCCAGTAATTCTTTATAGAACTAAGGATGGAAATTGTTTTGTATTGTCAAGTAGCCAAATTCTACATTGCACTCAGTCAGCAAAAACTGTAGTCTGGCCCTAAGTGGCACTTGATATTTAAAATATAAATAAAATGAGGGAGGGAGAGACCTGGATCTCTCTCTCTGGCAGGTCGGAGCCTCGGTTCTACTCAGCTCTACTTTGTGGCTGTCAGCACAGAAAGCTTTTACACTGGACAGACAGCTCAGCAGGATTTTACCACTGACTTAAATGGCCACCTGGATTCCACCCACCTTACTCTCCACACAAACCATACCAACCTCCCTGTGCACCCCCCCGTTCGCTTTTCGCTCTCTCTCTCTCTCTCTCCATTGTCATTTCTGCTCGCCCTCCCTCTCACTTACTGTGATTAGTTTGGGAAAAGAGCCAGAGACGGCCCTTGAAGTCGTCCCAACACTCTGGCTCTGCTTCATCGTTTACGCTCACACACCGGCACTAACACAACACGGTGAATCAGGGACACACACCAGCGTCTCTGCTGGTAGATTTGTCATTTTGCAAAGCAGCCCACTATTAAGCATTGAAATCAAATGGGGCCACTACGTGATGTGTGGTGGGTTGAACTGCTACTGGGGCAGCTCATACATCAGTTCTTCAGCCAGCGTGTGCAGGTATCGACAGGTAGGCCTGTTGCTCATACTAATGACTAGTGTTGTAAACTCACCAAGTACAAACAGCCTGTGGAGTTTTGACCTCTATCAGCGCTGCAGAGCAGTGTTTTGGTCAGTTAGTTTTTCTATTGTTTGTATCAATGCTGCCAGCAGGGTGCACGTCTCTGAAGGCTACGGGAGGCAGTGATGGTTACTGGTGGAGACAGCTGCTGGCTGATGGATGTGTTAAATGAATGTGTTCAAAGATGATTCCAGAGATGAGTAGCATGTGCTCACTTGGTGCAGATGCCAAAATGTTTTTTTACACGTTCTCAAGAGCACAAAGGAAAATGACCAGACACTGGAGTCTGTCTTGAGTTCGGTTGGGTTTGAGCTCCGGACTTTCTGAGTCAGCATGCTCTCCGGTGCCTTGTGGGTTCTCTCCGGGTACTCCTGCTCCTTTATCGCTGCATTTCTCCCAACAGAAGACCATGCAAGCAGTGCTGGTCTGAGTGCATTAGATCAGCCTTTGAAAATGATTCATGAGGTAGGAAGTGCAATGTAGTGTGTCAGTTTAACCAGGTTTATTTTGCACTTCAGGTGCTCATCTTTTAATGTTTTATCATTCAATAAATGTTAAAAATACGATCTTAAACTCTGCTTTAAAACATCACCTAGCTGCCAGTTGTCTCCAGATTACGTTGCTTGAGTTATATTTAATTGTATTTTTTCTAGGAGCCTGACATCTTTTAAGTCCAGATTATGTTCAGACCCCTTGAATTAAGCTGCTTTTTGTTTCCTAAATGTTTCATTTATGAGGCAAAAATACATATTTGAACCACATCACTTCACTTTCTCAATGTGCAGCGTATTGTTTAAATGTGTTTGTAGCTGCACCAGACACTTGAATCCGTGCACTTCATTGACCTTTTCCTGATTGTGGCTCAGCACGTACCTTTAACTGTGAATTTTAATGACTTTTTACATGTCTAAGATGTAATTTCCTGGAGGAAATACCATCTCATAAAATGAAGTAAACATGATTGTGAGTGTGTGCGCCCATTTTTTGTGGTTTATGTGCATCTTAGATCAAAGGTGCTAGTGGGCTGTAACCACACACACACACACACACACACACACACACACACACACAAAAAGAGGCGGCGGTGTTGCCGTTGCTTTGGAAACCATGCTGACAGTATAAAGTTTAAGCCACCATAAAGCAAGTAACTGAGTGAGCGGACATTAGTGCATAGCATGCTGAAAATGTGTGCACATTAACAAGCAAACACGTTACTCATTTTGCATCATTTCTTTTGTTCCCATTTCATTCTCCTTATCTTCTCTCACCACAACAAACAAACAAACAGAACAATGAGTGTTTTTTGTGTCAGGAGAACAAGTTCTTGCTAATAGGAAGTTAATAGTTACAGAATCAGTTGGGGGTGTGTGTGTGTGTGTGTGTGCGTGTATTTGTGTGTGTTTCTAGTTAGTAGGGAATTCATCATTTCCTGACGTGCCGGAAACGCTAAACAGAGGAGCCTCTAGCCTCTAATTATGCTGTACGCTCCAGCACTTAAACCTATTAGCACCAGAGGGGATGTTTATGTGCACGTCTGTGTGTGTGTTTGTGTGTGTGTGTGTGTGTGTGTGTGTGTACCAAGGTGGTCCAAGTACTGTGTGTTGTGTTAAGTTTGAAACTACTTTGATAGCAGCCTACTGTGTTGATGTCTCCTAATTAGTCTGTGTACGAGGCTGCTCAGTGGTTAACACACTGCAGTCTTTGATTATTTAATCCAGTTTTCAAACGTTGGACAGTAGAATTCAGAGCCACATATGATTTTTACTCTTCAGAATTGAAGGTCACCCTTAGTAATTAAATATTTGGACGGCCATGTTGTTGTTGTAAACGCTGATTAGCTGTTATTTAGCACAGATGGTCTTTCCCCTACAGCAACCTGCTTTTTATTTATGCACTTTGACACAGTCGTGCTGTGAGCTGCCTATTTCAGCCGTGTTGTTGGACTTCAGCCGCTCTGCACTCATAGTTTAGGTGTGTTTTACATTTGAAAAGTCCTATCATGTTTTGGTCCTTTAATTTAGCAATTGTCATGTTTTAAAAGGAAGTTGATGGGGGCGGGGCCACACCCCTCGCTGGTCACTGGCAGCAGTTACATTTTGCCAAAACAATTTCGTATTAGTAAACATAACTTCTAGGTGACAGGAACAAGAGGATTTATGCGTCATAACCAGATGTGTAGTTCGACTTCATAAAAGAATGAAGTCAAACTCAACAGCTGTGCAGTATATCTACGTATTATGGTGATTTCTGTAGAGTCCCACAAACAGCAGCAACAGGACTGCTGTTTGTGGGACTGTCTTTGATTTGTCATGTCAGCAAGAACTTCCCAAACTACAGATGTCATTTGAGGCTTACAGTTGTCACAGGAATTGACAGATTTGCTTATCACTCGGAGCCAAGAGGGCGAATCAGAAGTAGGAGAGACGGGGGATCTGAGACAATCAAACAGATGGTTAAATGATGTACTGAAAAACAAACAGATGGATCGACAGGCTTGTGAGCCCTCTATATGAATATAAGTATGCAGAATCAGCGTGGGTTTGTGTGTCTTCACCTCTAACTTCCCCACAGACCGCAGTAATAAACAAGGTCGGCCTCTGTGACCTCTGTGGTACGGTGTGGCAGAAGGGTCGAGCCTGATCAATAGTTCCGTGACTCTTCTCCTTTATGTGTTCAGATGTAAGGAAACACTATCCCAGCTGTTGGATATTATTATACAGACAGTAAGACAGATCGTATACAATGAGTCCCAGTGGTACAGTATATAGGGGGATGGCTATTTTTGTGTCCAGTTCTTCACATTCATTAAGATGTTCACAGTATTATGCATATTTTTAAAAAGTGTTAAACATTTCTTAAGGTTCGTCCGCTCTCCATCTGATCCCATATGTTTGAATACAGTTCTGATGTTATTGGAGGCTTTATGGGATGGATGGGTGGAGCAGGGGGACTCTATTGATATGAAGGAGAAAATCTGTAACTGCATTTTGGGAAAGCTGAATAACAACATGCATGAGTAGGAAGGATGTGACCGGTGATATCTGGACACTTGCATGGAGAGTCAGACACAATGTGCATCTGCTGCGCTGCAGGTGGACCTCCACAGGCTGCCTGTCAGCCTGCTTCCCTGGGGAGGACGCAGTGCAGCTGGACCTGTGGGTGTTGAGGTGTTTGCTATGTCCCACAGCTGGAGTGGGTAGCTGCTCCGTTAGCATGACGGGTGGTTTGCGCTTTCCCATACAACTGCTGTAGCATTGGAAATAAACCAACGTCATCATTCTGTTGTACATAAGCTGGCAAGAAATGTTCATTTCCTCATCTGTTCTGTTCCATGTAAATTGACTTCATTTACCACAGACAATGTGTTCTTTGGACTCTTTGTTACAGTTTTTTTCATTGTGTGTCTTTTTGTTTGTCTTTTGTGTGTACAGGCAGTACCGAAGCCCATAGCCATGGAGCCGTGCTGGGGGAGCAGAGCAGGTGTTCTGACAGTGCTGTTGTACCTGCCCAGAGTCCCATCTGGAATACCTCCACCAGGACAGTCAGGTACGATTCACACAGACACACACAGAAAGACGAGTCAGCTACATATAGAAGATGTTATTTCATCTTCTTTTGGACCAACATTTGTTCATCTGTCCCAAAGGAACAGCCTTTTCCCCCTAACAGATTCTAATACTTTGATAGATATTATCATTGAATCCACTCTGGGTAACGGTGTCAGAATCCCAATTCCACTAGAGCATCCAGTAAGATAACAGGTTGTCATCAAGTTAATATTATCAATAAAATAATTTACATAATCCTAAAACAGATACCAAAAATACTAAACAACTATTCATTCAATAAATGAGATCATCCAGTTAAATACTAGAAATAAAACTGAATTAAATGGTATAAAATACTAAAATAGAATAAATGCCACAAGAAGGACTTAAATAGCACCACTACCATGAATGCAATGCGATATATACTAATGCAGATATAATAGTGACAGGAGCATCATTTTATTTTAATAGTTCAGTAGTTTGTCCACAGCTCTCAGAAAGAAGCTACTGCTCAGCCTGTTTGTCAGCCTGCCAGAAGGGAGGGTGGCGAACTGGTGGTTTCCTGGGTGTGACTTGGCCCTGCTGATGCTAGTGACCCGAAGACAGCTCGAGTAGATGTCCTTTATATGTGGTAGTGAGGAGCCGATAATCCACTGGGCCGTTTAACCACCCTCTGCAAATCTCTGCTCTCTCTCGGTGCAGTTAGAGTACTGTACGGCAACATGTCAGCACTCTGTTGTGCTCCTATAGAAGTCGGTGAGTAGCTTTTGAGGGACAAGAAGAACAGATGTTTCTGTGCATTTCCACTTTAGGCTTGTAGTGTCTGATTTCTGTTCTTTGTATTGAGGATCAGGTTATTTTTGCACCATATTGCAAGAGCTTGAGCCTCATGTCTGTAGGCAGGTTCATCGCCATTTGATATCCGTTGTGTCCAAATTTAAGCAGTGTTTGAGCTGTAGACAGTGCCGCAGTGTGTAGAGGGGAGTAGAGAAGATGCCGAGGACACAGCCCTGAGGCACCCCTATACTAGAGTTGGTGGTAGAAGAGGTCTGGTGTCCTGATCTGATGTGCTGTTGTCTGTTAGTCAGAGGGTTTGAATCTCAGGGACCAAAGATTGTTGACAAGGTTTTGCAGTTTGATGGTGTTGGATGCTGAGGAAAAATCAACAAAGCTCACACAGGAACCAGGATTTTCCAGGCGAGCGAGTGACATTGTGTCTAATGCAATAGCATCCTCGGTGTATCTGTGTGGTCTACAGGTATAAGCAAATTGATACGGTATGGATAGAGGATTTTTCCAAGGCTAAGGAGTCATGGCAGTGCTTGTTGGAAAACTACATGGGTGAACTTAGTTGGTGCCGTATTGTCCCTAAACTGCTTCTGCAGTGTTACATAGGGTTTTACGGGGGATTGCCTTCTAATTTGATGTTGGCCTGTGACTGGCTTCTTTGTATCCAGTATAGACCAGTAAGGTGGTGCAGAGTATTGTGCTTTATACTGGAGAAAATGTGCTGTTTTACTCATATTTTGTGCTGATGATTCTGAAAAACCAGGCTAAGCATGATGAGCAGCTGCTGGTAGTCTCTACCAGCAGACACTATGACTGACAGACACTCACCAGAAACAGCTAATCTGACTTTGTATCGCCTACTAGTGATTCCCCATTTTCATTTGATTGTTGTTATAAACTGTCATCTGTCTCTGAGCCATGAAATCTCTCATCTTTGTCATTGTAAGCTCACAAAAACCCACTTCAGACAGTCTTCAGAAGCTCACTGAGCTACCTTAAGGCAGTGTTTACTGCGTACAACAGGCTGTGGCAGTTTAAACAAAAGCCAAGTAAACACAGTAAACTGTGGTGGCATCAAAAGCATCAACAAAAGTGTCTCGATGTTTCCTGGCTGTCATCATTAAACCAGTCTGCAGTCACAGAGCAGAGCTACAGGCTACAGCGGAGCTTAGTGAGCAGAAGGCTGCTTTATAGCCCAGAGGTTACATGTTCAGTCCATTCACATCACATCTTCTGTCAAGACAGACCAAGTGTATTGTTCTTACAACCTGCCAGTACCAGTTTAATGCCTGAAATGTAGAGAACTCTGCTCCCTGGTGCCTTTGAGCTCTGCAATTTTAGTGCAATGAGTTTCTGTAGGCCATTCTGTGCCAATTAGGGGAGATATTTTTCCCCTCTTATAATCACATAATGTTCAGTCCATCACTCTGCACATGTAATCAGGATCTCGCCAAGTTCACCAAGTCATACGGTCAGCACAGAACATCTGATGTGGATTTTTTTTGTGTGTGTGTGTGTATTGGAGCAGTATGTTCCTGGAAAATACTTGACTGTGAAGCAGGGCCTCAGTACAAACATAGGCAGTCACTGAAATGAAAGATCCATGAGATCCATTCTAGAAATCCGAACACATTACCTCTTAGTCAAATCTGGCTTTTATTTATCTATTTATTTTATTATTAGGATCGATCACTGAACTTGAAGCAGCACAGACTATAGATCTTTGACCCTACTGGAAAAGTGCCTTGTAAAAAAAACAAAAAAACAACAACAAAACAGTAGATCCCTATTTATTTAGGGTACTTTCACAGGAACTGAATGCCCAGATCACACAGTACTATTTCAGTTCAGTTTCAGTTTTATTAGTATAGCACCAAATCACAACAAACATCATCTCAGGAATCTTTACAAAGTAAGGTCTAGGCCGTACTGGTGTTATGATTTTGGTGACAATGCACAGGTGAAAGAAGGCAGTTCTAGTGATTTTATTTATGTGTGGTCTAAAGGACATATCCTGGTCAACGATGACTCCAAGGTTCCTCACAGCAGTACAGGAGGCCAGAGCTATGTCATCTAGCATTTTGGTTAGACAGCAGATTTTCCAGGCTAGGAAAAACTCTTCTGACTTAGTGGAGCGCCACCTCCTGTCCAGTTTTCATGATGCCTGCTTTAGGGAGCGGAGCTGTGAGCTGTACCACGGGGCCTCCTCTGTTTCACTGCCCTCTTTTTCAGAGGGGCAACAGTATCAAGTGTCATACACAGGGAGGCTGCAGCACTATCAACACGATTATCGACTTGTGTGGGAGTAAAGTTAAGGCGGTCGCCCTCCATTGTGTTGGCACATGGCACTGAAGTAAATAGTGATGGAATTATTTCCTTAAATTTCTGATGTCTTCCTACTAGTATACCTGGAGCTTGAGCTGGTGCTTGAAATATTTTGTTGGTTAATTGATTTGTTGATTGGTAGTATGTGAACTGAGAAATCTGAGATTTAAATGTAGATAAAAAAAAACAGGAAAAAATTCCAAGCATCCACAGATTTTCTATTTAGTTTCACTCCATTGTGGTTATGTGGCTTGCACTGTAACTACTCAGCTGCCAGGGTGCTCCTGGAAGGCCAACTCTTAACAAGTGAAAGTAGCAACAGAACAGAAAATGTGCAGGAAAGAGAACTTACACCAGTGAGTATAAAATCAAAAGGTTTCTATGCTGTGATAGTGGAACTTCTTGCCTTTTGCATCAGGCTGTTCTTCAGTGATGCTGAAGAAATATTCTTGACATATGGCACCCTTTAAAGGTCTGATGAGGTTAGACCTGCCTGGTTTTCCTCCAACACTTGCTGTTGGATCAATTGTTCCCCTCAGTGAGACATCCGGACTTTCCACAGTCTGAGCTCATGTTGCTGCTATAGATGGACGACACACGATATTCCCCAGTTGCTCTTGACCGCCGCACGGCTATTAAAAATCACTGGAAAGACAGCAGCACTTCCTCACAGACCTGTCCAAGGCCTGGAGCTTTATGCCTCGTCAGCACAAGGCCGGTCTTCTTTCCCTCCAGCTCAGTTTCCACCCCAGTCGACCTCTCATACTCCCTCCTTGCTCACATGTATACATTCAGTCTCCTAGACCAGTCTCTCTTTGTATTTTTCTTCTCCCCCTCAGCTTTTTGGAAGATCGTTGTCAGTGTGTCTGTTGCTAGTTTTGGTCTTTGTACAATGAAGTGTATGTAACTGAAGCAGGTGTGAGAAGCCTCTGTTCCTCCAGGCAGGAGGGAAAGGCTGGTACCTGGTAGAGGAAATGAGCAGACCTGATGGAAAATGAAGCACTTTGCAAGCTAGAAGGAGCTTTATATCGAAACCTTTAAATGCGGCAACAGTCACTTTAGTCTATACAGGGGAGGGAAAGTGCCAGACTGTGTGAAAAATGAGTGTGTGTGTGAGACAAAGTGAAACCTTTGCTACCCCCACAGGTAATTATGATGATTGGGGAGCACCTGATGGTAACAAGTGCATTAGGAACAAATGGAGAAACTGTGTGGAAATAAGGCTGAGGCAAATAAAATCTTTACTTTAAGATGCATCACAAAAAAAAACATTCCAGTCTGACTTTGAACTTGGACGCTGACTTAAGCTGTTTGACATTGCGATGTTGAAGCTGCCTAGGCTGTGGAGGTGTGAAGATCATAAGGATGTTTTTTTTTGTTTTTTGTTTTACACAACTTATCTGCATAGGTTATAGCAATCATACTAATCTATACTCAGTCCTCAATCATATCAATTGCGTTTAACTGTCAAATGAGATGTTCACACAGCACAACTAAAGCAGATAATGCTTGAAACCTATGTGACCATCTGCTCGTCTTCCTGCTTTACTGTACTGTGCAGTAATGCCACAGCATCCCTAGACTTCAGCCACTACTCAGAGAGAGCAAAATGCTAACAGCAGGAACAAAGACAAAACCTGTGTGAAGACCTGGGGCCAGATGTATAAACGACATGTACACACAAAAACCGTGTGTACATCTTTTCCCACACAAACGGGTATGTAGCCCATAATGTGCAGGACGAATGTGCGTACCTCACACATACCTGAGACCATGCATACACACAGTTTGAGTAGGTGTGATATGGTGAAGTGGAAATGAAAAACAAGGCCAATTTTAAACAGCTTGTATTTGTATTATGGATTATTTGTAGCCGTTTACATGTATTTCAGTTCATAAAGTGTACAGTAAAACCTTGGATTGCGAGTATAATTCTTTCCGTGCTCTTAATCCAAAGCACTCGTATATCAAAGTGAATTTCCCCATAAGAAATAACGGGAACTCGGGCCATTTGTTCCACAACCACTTATTCATATAAAAATGATTACAGTAATACAAAGTACAGAATAAAGTGAAAATAAAACAAATTAACCTGCACTTTACCTTTGAAAAGAATCGTGGCTGGCGTGAGGGAGACAGAGGAGCTATCTGTTGGCTCGCTGAAGTCTTTTTCTTTTTGTGCGACATTAACAAGGAACCCATCCAAGGACGCTTGCTTTTGCCTCCTTTTGATGATTTGGAGGAAAGGTGAGACTGTCATTAAACAGATTTATCATTCGTACCGCTACAGCCTTATTCGGGTGGTGCTTTTCCACAAAATTTTGCACCATTCACACATTTTAAAAATCTCCCTTGTAAAATTTTGCGATGTCGGCCACTCGCATACCTCGTTCATGCTTCTCGATGATTTCCTTTTTAACTTCTACCGTAACCACCACCTTTCTTTTCAACCTTTATCTTTTCTTCACCGGGGCCATGTTGCAGTACAGATGTTGACTATACGAAAGAGGCGAGAGAACCATCGGCTCAGTTATGTCATGACGCTCATCCATACTCGTATTTCAAGACCTAGCTCGTTTATCAAGTGAAAATTTACAAAAAAATTTGCTCGTCTTGCAAAATGCTCACAAACCAAGGTTTTACTGTATTTTTAAACGGTGTCTTTATCTCGCCCTAACTTGCCTTTGACATCATTTTTCATTTTAGACTTGTACATTTTTCTGTAAACTGATATCACTGTCATTAAGTCATTTTTTAAGGACGATTGAAACACAGCTTTTACAGGTGTGTGTGATTAAATTACAACGCTCTATAAATAGCTGTGTGTAATGGTCGTGCGGAAGGACGGCTGCTCTGGCGTTACAGCAGGATCATGATGATGCAGCTATAAGATGAGAGTGTTTAGAGATCGTTGAGATTCCCTGTAAAGCTGTGAGGTCTTCATCATGTAGATAATACAGCAGTTGCCGGTCCTCCTGCTGTTGCCCTCATGCTCCCTTGCACACACACGTGCTTTTCAGCCACAGTTCTCTGTTGTGAATGGACAGTAATGATGGCCCCCCCCCCCCCCTTTTTTTTTTTTTTTTTTAAACCAATGAGCAGCTTTTCTTCTCTTCATGATCCCTGAACAGGGAAACGCACAACCTTTTTTCCTTTTTTCCTCTTCTCCACCTCCACAATCAGTCTCAATTTCAGACTTGCAGACTTTTTTTTTTACCATTGCTTTGTCTAATATTGTGGTTCAAACATACTTTTTCAGTGCAAATGATTAAGGACTTGTCTGTTCATGGCTAAAGGTAGGACT